CAGCGAACGACTTCTTCACCATCAAGTATGCCTTATAAAAAAGAATAAGTGATGTTTATATGTTATGCTATGCTTGGTTCGTGAGTACTACATAATATATTGATGATTCAGAACATGTTAAGATTAGCAAGATTTGTATTGTTATCGTGGAGTTACAGTGTAATGAAAAGTTATAGACGACTAAACTCTAATATATGCATCAATGATATTGTTGAGGAGAGTTAGATATTTAAACCAGATGTCTCAAAACATAGAAAATAATGTAATGTTATGAACAGAAAAGCTTGGTAGTCCGTTAGATCCTATAGGCTACTATACATATCAAGAGTGGTAGTATCGAAAAAAAAGTTCCGTCACTATGGAGTACGTAACTATGAAATCATAGTATTGGTATGAACATGGAAAGAGTGACTTGAGATTACCAAAGAGAAATTTTACAAGCTAACACTATGAAAGTTCAGACACACTTTACTTGAACTAATTTGTGGTCCTCATGAATGCCTTTAATGAAATTAGAGATTTGGAAGTACTGAAATGTAGAAATCTCTCTATCTTGACACTAATTGTGAGATTTAAAGTCAAGTTCGAAGACAGCTACAGGTGTGAAAAAGACAGGGTAATTTAAAGGTGTCACACTAATTATCAAAGTTTTTCAAATTTGCATGGAAATAGATTGTGACATGAAATGTCTAAAATATGACTTGAAGTTATGAGACCATGAATTGAGATGGAGCGGAGTGAGAAATCCATGATGATGAAAGTACAGGAATTATTTCCAAGACAACCATTTGTTCTACTTTCGATAATATTCCCAATACCACTATGTAAATATTTTTCAACATAAAGTATGACGAATTTTGAGGTTGGTGATCGTCACGCCACCACTAAAATGAACCAGTCATGATTCATATTAATTTGGCCCTCTTTCATTCCCATGTTTTTTTTTTCCTTTTTTTTGGTAGACTCTTTAAGGGCTCTGTATAAGAAAATTGAGAGGAATCCAGGTATCTGAAGCTCAAGGTATGAAGACCCACATGTAGATGAACATATAAACAGTCCATCTAGAATTTTTTTCAAGCTATAGGTGTAGAAATCACTTGAAAATCTAACCAGAAAAGTTAAAAGACAAGAATCGAAAAGGTAAGAAACTAAACCGGACAATTTTCTTGAGATTCTAGCAACTTTAAAATAACTCATTAAATGGTCTCCCATCCTCATGAAATTTTAATAAAAGGCTTAATATAACATGACAACCACATGCATAAAATTGGGTAGTTATTAGAATATGTCAAGGAGCTAAACCAATTATATGTATAAAATGACCGAAATGTCCCTTAACCAAGAACTCAAAACCGTAGACCAAGGTCTTTAGTCCAAAACCATATACCAAACAATGTTTTAAGATTGAATCTCAATACCAAAACCATATACCAAGGTCAATCTTAATTCAAGGATTTGAGTTTTTCTAACATTCGTATCAACACCAGATGTTGATTTCAATATTGAGTCATAAACTCACTTTTAAGTTCTTAAAATTATAGATAGAACGATTGAGTAGATTTGAGGTAGACCAAGTTATAAATATTGGATCTACGAAGTCAGGACTTGAAACACCTTAGCATTTTCTTTTGAACACATTAGTGGTGATGTTACGAAGAAATGATTGGCCCATGTGTCAATTTATTGAATATTAGGAACTAATTAAGGCAACAATGGAGAAAAGGTATGCTTCTAGAAACAAAGGTTATCTCAAGTATATGAACCATGAAGAACAATATGTTGAAAAACTCCTCTACGTCTCAACATGATTCTTATGGGTGATTGTGAGGTCTTTTGACTCATTAATGCCTACAACTTGTATAATTTTATGAACTAGATATTCGAAGAGGTTCTTAGACTAGTTTATAGTAGTATGTATCCTAAAAAACTTTAAAAACTGGCTTCGACAAGCACCACGCGCCTGGAACGCGAAGCTCGACAGTACCCTGCTGACGCTCAAGTTCAAGCGTTGTGCTTCTGAGCATGGCATATACACGTGCGGCCACGACGAGCAACGACGGATCATGGAGTGTACGTCAACGATCTCATAATCACTGGAGGCGACATGGAAGTTTTTGGAAGATTCAAGAGGGAGATGTCAACGATCTTCAAGATGAGCGATCTCAGCGCGCTCAACTACTACCTCGGCATCGAAGTGCAGTAGAGTACTGCCGGTATCACCATTTGTCAAGGTGCGTATGCGAAGAAGCTGTTGAACACAGTTGGGCTGGCGGACAGTAACCCTATAAGAACGCCAATGGAGGCTCAACTCTAGCTAAGGAAGGTCAGCACTACGCCGGTGGTCGACGCCACTAATTACCGCAGCATCGTCGGGAGTCTGGGCTATCTAGTAAATACACGCCCTGACCTTGCCTATTCTGTTGGATACGTTAGTAGGTTTATGGAAGCACCAAGGGAGGAGCATCTTGTAGTAGTCAAGCATATCCCACGCTATGTGCCCAAAACCAGTGGCTGGGTTGTGAGATACTGTGCAGGAGAGGAAGGAAGAAACTTGAGCTGGTTGGCTACAGAGATAGTGACATGCTTGGTGACGTTAATGATCGTAAGAGCACCAGTGTGATGATTTACTTCCTCCCAGGCAACGCGATTTGCTGGCAATCAACTAAACAGAAGGTAGTTGCTCTGTCTTCTTCCGAAGTAGAGTACATCGCCACTACGATGGCGGCCACATAGGGAATCTGACTTGCGCGGTTGATGGAGGAACTGATCGGAAGAGAAGGTGATCCACCAATGTTGTACGTGGACAACAAATCTATGAACTCCCTAATCAAAAATCCAGTTTTACACGACTAGAGCAAGTATATAGAAATTAGGTTCCATTACATCCAAAAGCGTGCAGATTGGGAGCTTTATCAAGATTAACTTCATCCGAGCGGAGGAACATCTTGGAGACATCTTCACTAAGTCTCTGACGCGGATGAAATTTGAGGAACTACGCCCGAAGATCGGAGTTCAAACAATAAGGTAAATATACTGCCGGTGTTAGGAGAAGATTGTTAGATAAACTTGTTTTTCTTATTTTGTTTAATCATAATTTTCACCTTCAATTGCATTTTTTTTTTCTGTTAGGAAATTTGACGCGTCCACCTCTAGTGGAGTAGCATAATTTCAGCTTGCCATTCCTGCATGTTTAGAGGTGAGTGATGCAAGTTTAGTTGGTCACTTCGGGCCATTTTTAGAGTCTAGGTTTGTTTTAAATACTCCAATCAAATGGGAAACATATGCACTCTTTTTTGCACCAAGATTCACCGTCTTCATCCTGACGACTTCTATTATTTCTTCTTGTTCTCACCGGCGACGTGCTGCTCTGGCTAAAGACAACAGCGACGAGGGGTGTTAACCCGCCCACCCAACTCAACAGTCACGTACTATAAGGATAAAGAGTTCATTCTCTTAATGTGTGCCTTGCTTGTCCTAATTCGCTTGTCCTAATTCAAGTTATAATAGGCTTATTATTAAAATCAGATCTCAAAAAGTGGTCAAAAAGAGCAAAAACTCACCCTTAATTCATGTGTAGAGAGGTCATACGCGTGAGTCTCACATACGACTTCTCAATGTAATAGCTCTCCAGACCACAGTTTGAGCCTCAGCGAGCATAAGGTTTTTCCTCAATTTTCTATAATGTGATATGTGATGTCTCCTGAATGCTCCTCCTTGTGCATAGGTTGGCTTTGAGTCTTAAGATTAACATTTTTTTTCTTAAATTTCTAAGTGTTCGATGCGTGGCACCCCTTTACTCCAAGTGGGAGGGTTTGAAAACCGGTGGAGTGTATTTCATTATATTTATGACCATCAATCCGAGGTTAGAGATGTTTATTTAAGCCGCCTCGAATAGGACAGGAATTTCTAGTTTAGACCGAGAATGAGGAAGGAAGTGAGGAGAGATTTCTCTTTATTAGATAAATGGGTTGAGGATGAAGAATATATTCCTCGTCTCCATCCCCACTCAATTCTCCGACCTGCTCTCCCACCGCCCACTTAATATAAATATATTTTTAAAGACCAATTTTCTAAATTCCATTTTCAAGTTTCACCCTAGAGGGAGGAAGTTTTTAAATTTCCTTACAAGTTCCAATGAGTTTTAAGCTTCAAATTCCAATGCTTTTTATATCTTCAAAGTTCAAATGGTTTAATGTCTTTTTATTTGATTTGTTGTGATAATAATTTTTTTTTTTAACGTTTGAATTATTATTTTTTTTGGGTACTAATTAGACTCATTATTTTGTGTTATTTTGTTTTTGTAGCATTTATTAACCCAATGGTTTATTCAACCATTCATTTTTAGTCGAAAAAAATCAATCGCTATTCTTTTTTCTTAAATTTTAAAAATTTGTTATGTTATAATATAGACATAAATTAATTTTATATTTTATTTAACATGAAACGATTTGATCAAACAAGTTTCTAATAAAATGAGTGAATTAACGTGAATTAATAGTTACCATTAGAGTGAATCAACCTCAACTCTAATTTTTTTTTTTTTTTTTCATATCTTGAGTTTGAGTCGATATGGTTCATTCTCCAAAGTTGAAGAGTTTTAATCCAACTTTCAAATAAATTTTATTTCATTCAATTTCATGCATGTGGATAAAGATATAAGCATGTGGAGGATTGTAGAGAGTGAATCCCACCTTGACATTTAGGGAATGATTATGGATTTATAAGTAAAAGAATACAACTATGAGGCCTGAATAAGGATTATTTATGCTAGAACACTTTCTATATATTTTTTTTTGAGTCACTGTCCTTATATTTTAAAAAGAATATTATTTTGACCCCTTTGATATTATTTATTAAAAATAAAAAAACTAAATTATCATTAAGTGGGGGTATTGGACTGATCAGTCAAATTAAAAGGTCCCACAATCATACGACGGTCTTCAATCTTGGCAGATCACACGGTATACAACAGTCCCAGAAAAGGATCAGCCCGTACACAATCTTCTCTCTTCTGAACTTGATTCCTTCTTCTCCCAGTCCGTCCAAAATCAAAATACAGCTTCTATCAAGCTCTTCTAAGTTCTAAGCTCTCCTTTAATCCCAAAACTAATCTCCATTCTCTCGTTTAAATCCCTCCTTAAACCCCTTTCTTAATCTCCTTTTTCTCTCCCTACCCATTTCCCCTGTTCCCATTTCCCCTTCTGGGTCTCGCCATTTCTCTTAGGGCTGCTGCGGAGCAATTCGCCTTATGACTGAGCCCGGGAGGATTCTGAGCTAGATCTTTAATGGCGAGTAACCACATTAACTCCTCTGCTTATGGTGGGGATGTTCTCGATTCTACTAAGCTCTCGCTTTCCTCCTCTGCTTCTTTCAAGCCTCGTAAGAAGCCCAATGTTGCTGCCCCGCCAATTTCACGTGCTGGCTCTGATGTGGATGATATTATTACTCTCTTGCACGGTTCTGATCCAGTCCGCGTCGAGCTCAATCGCCTCGAGAATGAAGTTCGAGGTCCTTTTTTTCTCTTCCTTGTCTCTTCTTTTTTTTTGTTTTCGAATGCCGGTGGAGAACGGTTGTTGTTGATATGAGTTTGAGGGGTTTGTTTTGTTTTGTTCCGTTTGAATTTTAATTTTTCATCTGGGGTTTGTGTTTTGTCCTTTGCTTTCCAGATTTGAAGTGTTTGTTGCTTTCTGATGTTGGATCGATTTTGAATTGTGTGCATCTACTTTTTCGATCTTTCTACTGTTCTTATGGAAAGTAGAATCGGAACTGGGAATTTACCTACCTTGGAGAAAATTAATGATGGAACTCCGAAATGCACGTTGTTATTAAGATTGGAGCCGTGTAATTGCTAGTGATAATTGCTGCATCATGATTCCATGGTGTTTCTTATTTCTATTTCCTTTTTTCTCGATATTGTCATTTTATATGTATACATGTCTTCTGTAAATTCGGTCTTTAATTGATTTATATTCTGGGTTTCCGTTAATAGTTGAAAAAAACCACTTGATATGGTCTGAAGAGAATTTCAATATGTTTTGCATAGAAGAAAGGAATTCTATATTTTCTAGATTAATAATGTTTTTTCTCCTGAAAGTGTTCGTAGGATTTCTTTTCCTTCTTTTAATTTTCAGATAAGGAAAAAAATAAAAAAATAAAAAAGGGAACGCCAGCAATGTATTAACGAACTATAAATGGGAAGATAAGACTAAGAAAAGATTTATGGAAGCATCCATTGGGCCAATGAAGAAAGCTTCTACCCGAGCTCTCGAAATGAAAGCTGTTAATCGTGTAACATTGTTTAATAACAAATTTCTATATGCCTTGTATATTCTTTCATTCTCGTAGTGAAAGCTCGAAGTTATAGTTGATTCCTTCTATATTTGTGCTAAAATATGTACAACATTAATCTTGAAGGAAATGTTTTGTAAGATGTTTGTGCTCCTATTTGTTTTGAGTTTTAATTGGTCTTCTCTTTGTCAATTGTGTTTGGCCAACTTGTTGCTCATTATTTGCGGTTTATGCTCCTCTTTTGAACCTAGACTATCAGATTGTATTGATGGTTGTTATCTTTAGAACTCAAGGACACAATTGTACAATTTATAGAACAAATCCTGTTCAAGTAAGGTCATATTATTGACAGTTGTTATTTATGGGTCTTCAACTTTTATGTTCTGAAATGGATTATAACGTACTGGCGGTATATTGTACCGAACACCTAGGGAGGATGAAATAGGACAGCCACCAATTATGTCGTTATATCTGAGATCACTATCAAGAGAACTAAATTGTATGAAAGGGATATAAGGTAATATTGGCTGTACTCGAAATACTCCTATAGCAACTGGAGCCAACAATGCCATTGCTTCCTTTTTAATGACCATTATATATTGCATGTTTGGCACTTCATATATCTTATGAAATTCTTATTTTTTAACTTTTTTAAGTTTTGGAAATGTTAAATAGTAATTTTCATGTTCAAAGAAGGAATATAACAAGAATGAGAAGAGACTCAGGTTCCTTTGGAATCAAGTATTATTAGACCCAATTGAATATTTTTCTTTTTATATATGCAGATAAGGACAGAGAACTGGGGGAGGCTCTTGCTGAAGTTAAGTCATTAAAAAATTCCGAACGGCTCAAAGAGAGGGCTGTTGAAGAGGTACTATTTTATTCTTTTATCAACTTTAGCAGTTCATAGTTGAACATGAACCAAAATAGAATGAAAAGGATCAAATTGCTGCTTTAAATGAATCATATATTTGTTATAAGTATGCATGTGGTTGTAGGAGCTTATTAGTCTTCTTTATTGTAATTTTACTGTTCTTTGTTTAGAGCTTACATGTATGCCTATATATTGAACTTAATATATCGACTTGGAAGGATTCATCTGTATTTTGGCTTGACATGAACATGGTATTAGAACACTATGTATTTTTCTAGGGCAATTAGGGTTAGGGAACATTTGGGTTAGAAGTTTTGGACCCTCTTGTTTTCCACCTTAGGTTTGGAAACATAATTCTCAAAACTCTAAATGAGGGATGACCCATGCGAAAGTGATGTAACCCAATCGTATCTTTATTAGAAGAACTAAGAAATGACACAGGTGCAGGACTGATTGTGCTCTCAGATAATTGCAAGTAGGACAGGCCATTCAATTCCTTAGCAAGTCCAATCATCCGTTTCGAGTTCTAGTCTTGAAAAACATGACATGACGAGGAGAAAATAACATGACAGTGGCTGTCATGAGCAAGCTTTGTATGGAAAGTATACTATTAGATAGTTTTGGGACGTGTAGAATGTTTTTTAGTTTAAAGGTTTGAGAAACAAATACATTGCCTATTCCTGCCATAGTGACACTGGTTCCATTTGCCACTGTAATTTTTTGATTACTCGAGCATGATTTATATGCTTTAAAAAGGTTGTGAGTGAGGGATCATGTCATCAGTTGCACCGGAGTCTATAATCCAAGAGTTGACTTATCTCTAAAGGGTTTATACAAAAAGTGAAGGAAGACTTACCTGAGATTGTAAATGTACTAGAACTTGATGGTTTGTTGAGCGAGTTCAAGAACACCTTCAATCTATCAATCTCTTCATTATTGCATCCACTAGTCCTTCACAATTGGGGCCTTTTGGTCTGATTTGAACTCCTTTGCAATGTACGCTCATGCCTTTGACATTTCTCCCTTGTTTCTCATACGATGATTTTGTGGGCCTCCCCGACTTCCTTATTCACGACTGGGAGGCTTTCTGTTCAATTTCCAATAACTCTCCTTCATTTGTCGTGGTTTCTTGTAGCGAGTATACCATAAATTGTCTTTGTTACTCTTCCATTAGTAGGCTCGTCCATTGGTATGCGTTGGGTGAAAGCACTTGTGGTGGGCTTGTGGTGGATTTGGGCTAACAAAAAGGTTGATATGGAAAGGGCTTTGGTGGATATGGATGATATGGGCTTAGGAGGATATGATATGTGGTACATGTGTTTGATATGGGCTTACGTTAATGTGTTCGATATGGAGAAAGATAAAATGTGGTGGATGTAGGCTTACGGTAATGGGCTTGGGATATGGCTAAACGGAAATGGAACAGTGACTATGGACTTTCACAATCTTGCGTAAGGTAGAAGAAAGTGTATCAATTTGCTTACGAAATGTAATATTTGGAAGGTGAATCAATCTGAGTTCGCAATCTTGCGGAATTTTCTTCGTTCGTTTTTTTATAAAATGGAATCAATCTTGCAAAAATTACGAAGTGTGGAAAGTGCAGAAAATTGAGATTGCAACTAGTAATGGATGTTAATGGGCTTGCGGATTGTGTGAATGACTTTCCTTCTAATGTTGATTAGTGGCTTGAAAGCGGGGAGGAATGGATGCATTGGTAATGGGTATAGTAGGAATTGATTGCTAGGCTTCAAAATTCTCTTTACTTGCGGAAACCTATGCCAGACTTGCGGAAACCTATGGATGTTTTGACTATACTGGACTTGCAGACTTGTGTTGTTGGTTCTATATCTAGAATGGATTCGTCGTTGGACTTGCGAAACGATTGTGGAATGGGCTTGCTTGCGAATACTAGGCTCTCAAGACTTGAGAAAAGAATGGACTTGCATTGCTGAACTTTTGGGGAGATTAGCCCAAAGCTTCCAAGAGTCACAATTATATGAACTAAGACATCTCAATCATGTAATATGAACTTCAAGAAAGATGTGAAAAGAATATTGTTCAAATTACCACAAGATAAACTCAGGTTGCGATCCGTGCCCCATTAAAAAATAATCAAGTTTCATTTAGTCTTCGATGATTATAAAATTTGTGTGGATGATAATCTAAATTGAGGTGTTTTATTAATGTATTTTAAGACATTTTATTTATTTTAAGGTTACATTTACATAGAGCTTGATTAACTGCAGCTGTTGCAACTATCAATTTTGCCTCAGCAGTGGATTGAGCTACAGTTTCTTGCTTTCTTGAGCACCAAGAGAACATGTCTGATCCGAGGCAAAAATAGTAACCCGATGTACTCTTCATGTCATCAATTGAGCCACCCTAATCACTGTCAGAGAAACCAATTAGCTTCATTTCCTTGTGCTTTAAGAACTTCACTCCATAATTCTAGGTCCCCTTGATGTATCTGATAACTCTCTTTGCAGCTTTCATGTGAGTCTCATTGGGACAATGCATAAATCTGGAGAGAATACTTACAGCATTTACGGTATCAGGTCTGGTTGTTGTTAAGTACATCGGGCGCCCTACCAAGCTCCGAAACTCAGCTTCAATAACTTTGGCAGAACCATCATCTTTGACCAGCTTCTCCTTTTGATTCATAGGAGTATTCATTGCTTTGCAATCCTCCATCTGAATTTTTTTAAGTATCTCCTTTGCATACTTTCTTTGACAAATGAACACTTCATCTTGGGTTTGCTTGATCTCAATGCCAAGGAAATATGACATCAGACCAAGGTCTGTCATTTCGAAGATCTTTTTCATTTCCAGTTTGAACTTGTTAATTTGCTTAGGATTGCTTCCTGTAATTAATAAGTCATCTACATGAAGAGAAATGACTAAAGTATTTGTATCTTCATGCTTGACATACAGTGTGAGTTCAGATTGACTTTTCTGAAAGCCAAGACCAACCAAATGATCATCAATTTTACTGTACCATGCTCGCGGAGCCTGTTTAAGACCGTATAAAGCCCTTCTTAGCAAGTAGACTTTATCTTCATTGCCTCTGCTCACAAAACCTTCAGGTTGCTCGACAAAAATTTCTTCTTGCAAGACTCCATTTAAGAATGGAGATTTAACATCTAACTGGAATATTTTCCAACTCTTTTGAGCAGCAAGAGCAAGCAACAATCTTACTATATCAAGCCTGGCAACAGGTGCAAATGTTTCTGAATAGTCAACTCCAAAAACTTGCGCATATCCTTTCACAACAAGTCTTGCTTTGTATTTGTTAACTGAACCATCAGGATTTAGCTTTGTTCTGAATACCCATCTTACTCCAATTATCTTTTTGTTTAGAGGTCGATCAACCAACTTCCATGTTTTGTTTTTCTCGATCATCGAAAGCTCCTCCTGCATTGCAGCCATCCAATGTTGGCTGTTTTTTGCATCATGGAACCCTGCAGGCTCACAAATAGCTACATTACACCTTTGATAAATATCAGACAGTAACCTTGTACCTCTCACAGGTGCATCATCAACCAAATCTTCTTGCCGTTCATCTTCAGACTCTTCTTGTTGTTCATCTTCTTCTAACATGCTACCAAAGGTTAAAGTGTTTGGTGCATTAGAAATCTGATTCACCTTTGTCAGTTCTTCCCAATTCCATTGCTTATTTTCAGCAAATTGAACATCTCAGCTCACAATAACTCTACTAATGTGCGGTTGAAAAACTCTGTAAGCTTTGGATATAGTGCTATACCCAACAAATATGCCAACTTCTGCCTTTTTGTCAAGCTTATCACGCTTGACCTATGGAATGTAAGTGAAGCAAAGACACCCAAATACTTTAAGGAACTTTAAAGAAGGTTTGTAACCATACCAAGCTTTAAATGGTGTCAGGTCCTTCACAGCTTTTGTTGAAATTCGATTTTGCAAGTACACAGCAGTGTTTGCTGCTTCTCTCCAAAAACGTTTTGGAAGATCCTTCTCATGAAGCATGCATCTCGTCATCTCCATTATGAATCTATTCCTCCTTTCACTGACGCCATTCTGTTGAGGAGTGTATGGTGCTGTCAACTGATGTTCAATTTCAGCCTCTTCACAAAACCTGTTAAAAGTTTCTGAAGTGTACTCCTTGCCATTATCTGATCTTACCGTCTGAATCAAGCATGCACTTTCATTCTCAACTCTGGCCTTGAATTTCCAAAATACACCTGCAACTTCTGACTTTTGCTTCATAAAGAAGATCCAACACATTCTTGTTAGATCATCAATAAAAATAATGTAATAAAGATTACCATTTAATGATGGTGTTCGCTGAGGACCACAAAGATTAGTATGAACCAGCTGCAGTTTTTTCGAGGCTCTCCATGCCTGTTTAGGAAAGGGATGCCTATGTTGCTTCTCAAAATTACAAGCACGGCAAGGAGGCATGTCATCATTAATGTCAGCGAGTCCTTCTACCAGCTTCTTTGACTGCATTTGAAGCAAACCTCGATGATGAAAGTGCCCAAGTCTTTTGTGCCAAATCTCAGCGGCACTAGTTTTGGATATAAAGGCCATCTGCTCTTTCTCCATCGAATTTAAAGCAAAGCTTTTTCCTTTCATTTTGACATTGAACAAGTCTTTGACACTAGCATCTTTGATAAAACACTGCTTATTCTCAAACAACACTTTATAGCCTTTATCAAGTAACTGACCAACACTTAAGAGATGTTTGATCAATTTTAGGCACAAATAAAACCTCTGGAATAAATTTTGTACCTTCATAACTTGTTATAGCTACTGTGCCTTTTCCTTTGACTTCCAAGTGTTCACCGTTGCCAATCCTCACTCTCTTGACTTCAGTGTCTTTTAATTCCTCAAAAATACTCCTTGTCATATGTCATATGATTTGTGCACCCACTGTCAATCAACCAGCTCTCGCTTGATTCTTTGCCTGAGAAACAAGTGGCCACAAACAATTGATTTTCTTCTTCCTCTTCTTGATCAACTACCTGTGCATCTACTTCTTTCACCTGATCTTTGGCTTTGCAGATCACAGCTTCATGTCCAAGTTGATTGCATTTGGAGCAGAAGGCGTCAGGTCTTCTCCAACACTTGTATGGTGGATGACCTTCTCACAATGGCGGCAAGGTGGATAGAATTTTTTGAAACCTCCTCCTTTTGTCTTCTGATAATTTGCAGATGGATCTCCATACGTCGATTGGTTTTTGAAAATTTTCTTGTTTTTATACCTGCTGTTGTCTTGATGCTTAATAGGTAAGGCATCTTCAATCACCCCTTCTTGCCTCATAGACCTCCTTTGCTCTTGTGCTTGTAAAGCATTCAAGAGCTCTGTAAGAGAAATCTTTGACAAGTCTTTGGTGTTCTCCAGAGTAGTAATGGTGGCTTCAAACTTCTCTGGAAAGTGACTAGCAGCTTTTCAACGATCCTTGAATCATTTAAAACAGAACCAAGCAATCTCACCTTGTTGGCAATGCTGAGAAGTCTGTCAGAGTACTCTTTCACCGACTCCGACTCCTTCATCTTCTACAACTCGAAATCCCTAATCAAATTTAGGGCTTTCATTCCACGAATCCTCTCATCTCCTTCATATTCGGCCTTGAGATAATCCCAGATTTCCTTTGCTGTTTTGAGGGACATTATTCGCATGAAGATTATTTGATCGTCAAATAGGCAAGCTTTCGCCTTTGATTTACTTGTCTTCTTTTCCTTCTGTAATTTGATTTGTGCTACAATAGGATTTGCTGGAAGCGAAGGGACCTCGTAATCCTCTTCTATTGCTTCCCAAAGATCCATAGCCTCCAAATAAGTCTCCATACGGAACTGCCCACGTTTGATAATTGTCTCCATCGAAGACTGGTGGTGCAACAACGGAAAAACTGGATTCTCCTTCCATCTTGATCTTATAGATCCCTTAAGAAGATAGCTCTGATACCAATTGTTAGTGAATTGTTAGTGAAAGAGGGATTGATTGAATTAGTGAAAGAGGGATTGATTGAATGATTGATAAGATAATTGAATTTTGAAGAGCAAGAATGCTCTATATATATAGAGAATACAGAGATATCTAGAAAATCTACCTAGAAATCAGAAAATCTAAACAAATCAAATAAAAACAAAATCTAATCAAATCAAAAAACAAATCGACTCCTAATAATAAGAAGATTTAATTAAATACAGCAATCTAAACAAACACGTAATCTTTAACCGGTTTTAGCATTTATGATTTTGGAGTTTGCATATGCATAGTGTTTAGAAGAGTTTTTAGATCTAATTGGCTAAGGTTACCATATCACACAAATGATTGGACTTGCTTGCAATTACTGTTGGGTTTACGATACCAAAAAATGTTGTTCTGGAAACGAAAGTCAGTCTCACTGGAAACGAAAGTCAGTCTCACCAATCCTGGAAAGGAAGTTTTTAATTATTTTTTTTATGAGAAGTTATGTACTTTTCACTTCTCATACTTGTTGATCTCTCTCAACGATAATATGATATGATGAAAGCGTTGTTGAATAAACTTCGGCATTGTGATGGTAGCTATGAAGCCTCCAAATGAAACTTCAGCGGAGGATCGATAGCTATGAAAGCTCCACCAATTAGGTTAGGGTTTAGTTATAATCAGATTTTTTCATAATAGAAAAAGCTCAGTACCATGGTGCAAATCTAAATTGCTGTTTTACTTTATTTTTTTGGATACGAAGATTGGCATTGAAATTAATAATTCTATATTGGTTGATTTTGTCACATCCACAACCACCAACCATTCTTCAAAGTACTTTTATGAACTTCTTCATATGTTTATTTTACAACTTTTGGTCAAGAGATATCTAACCTGTGCTTAATGACGGTCAGACACTAGGCAGTAGATGATACTCATACTCTTGCCTCATATTCTTAGTTAACAGATGAGTTGAAGAAAGTAGATGAAAAGCTCAAGGCAACTGAAGCTCTTTTGGAAAGCAAGGTACTTATGAAGTTAATATTATCTTCTGATAGGAGTTGATATGCCCATAACCATCACCCATTACTACATCCACTAATATTATTTTTACTATGATTGTAGAACCTTGAAATCAAGAAGATTAATGATGAGAAAAAGGCTGCATTAGCTGCCCAATTTGCTGCTGAAGCCACCCTTCGAAGGGTACACACCGCTCAAAAAGATGATGAAATGCCTCCAATTGAGGCCATTATAGCACCATTGGAGGCAGAGCTTAAGCTAGCCCGGCTGGAGGTAGAATTAAAACTCGTCTTACATTTTTCATCTGAGTGTACATTTGTATGTCATTACAACAGTTTCTTTTCAGCTCCATGTACAAGTCATGGAAGAGTAACTATTTTCCATGTCTCAGTAACAATTATCTGGTTTTTAGGTAGCAAAGTTGCAAGATGACAATAGAGCTCTGGATAGACTTACAAAATCCAAGGAGGCTGCATTGCTTGAGGCCGAGAGAACCGTCCAGATTGCTTTGGCAAAAGCATCCATGGTTGATGACTTACAAAATAAAAACCAAGAGTTAATGAAGCAAATTGAAATATGCCAGGTTGCTCGATCACTCAAAAGTTCTTTAGTAGTTTTCAGGCCTCCTATTTAATTCTTGGTTTTCATTTAGTTGTTAAATATATGACAGAATGCTTAATTTAACTTGTATTCGCCACAATGTTAGGAGGAGAATAAGATATTAGACAAGCTGCACAGACAAAAGGTTGCAGAAGTTGAAAGGCTAATGCAAACTGTCCGGGAGCTCGAGGAGGCTGTCTTGGCTGGTGGTGCTGCTGCCAATGCTGTGCGTGATTACCAGCGAAAAGTGAAAGAGATGAGTGTAATAATTCTGATTTAAATTTTCAATTATTTTTATCTCGGGTGCACGTTACAAAATTTCCAATCAACATCAATTTTGCTTCTTGTATAGGATGAAATAAGAACTTTAGAACGTGAGGTAGCTCGTGCAAAAGTTACCGCCAACAGGGTTGCTACTGTTGTTGCTAATGAATGGAAAGACGCAAATGATAAAGTGATGCCAGTAAAACAATGGCTTGAAGAAAGAAGATTTTTTCAGGTGTGTCGTAGTTAGCATGCGCATTTTTAAATACCTGGAATGAGTTTCTTAATTTATTTTAGTTTCTTGCATTGAGGCAAGTGTGGCTTAACTCCCAAATGAAGATTTTGACCTTTTTGAGATAGGTACCTTTCCGAATAGAAAAATAAAGAACTGTTAAGCTCCTATCACCCTGTGAGACTAATGAGCTGGCAAGAGATTTAGATGAAAAAGGTTCCATTCTTCTCCACCATCCGTCAGGTGATTCATTGAGGACTATGCTTTCAAGTGTATGAGATAGCATATAGCCCGTTCCTCAGTCTCACGATTAGTTAAGTTTCTCATGGGGTTAAAATTTCGAGCCCGTGGAGGAATTTCAGAAACCAGCCGCCTTTGCCTCCTAATCTATCGTGATAGAAAATAATAAAGGGAACCGATCCATGAGAAGCACACCTTCCAGCCAGTTATCACACCAAAACCTTATACCAACAACCCATTTCCAACTTTGCAAGTGGTAGTGGTGTAAATCAGGTCTTCGAACACTGTATCAATTTCGAAGGCCCTTCGATGAGTCTAGGGAGAAACTTCGAGGCTTCTAATCAAAATGCAGAGAGCCATATTTTGATACAATAACCTCCTCTAAAGAGCACAGATCTTTCTTTGTGTAATCGTCAGATCCATTTAGCCAAGATGTATTGTTAAAGTTTTATGTCAATAATCCTTAGGCTACCTTCCTCTAATGGGCGTTTAACTTTATCCTATCTTAAATTGTGAGAACCACCCTGTTCTCTGTTCCCTTCCATAACAAATTCCTAAAAAGACTCTCAATGACGCTGAAAGTTTTGTGGGAGTAGAAACAGGGATAGATAGTGTGGATGGGGAGGATAGCCAAAGTAGTTTGAATAAGAGTCAAATGTTGAAAATGTAGTTTCCATGAATAATATTGTGTATTACACAGGTTAATCAATGTAGTCTTGAATACACTTGCAGGGAGAAATGCAGCAACTTCGTGAAAAACTAGCAGTTGCTGAGCGCACTGCAAAAGCTGAAGCACAAATGAAAGTGAGGAGAATTAACTTTTGCATTCAGCGGTTTATGTCCTCTTGAATTATTCACAAATGTTGTTGCATGTGTTGATTGGAAACTTAGGAAAAATATCAATTGCGCTTCAAGGTTTTGGAGGAAAAGCTTAGATCATCTAATGGTAACCCGAAATTTGCTTCTGAAGGAAGAAGCATAAGCACGGGACCTTCGAGACGTCAATCTCTTGGAGGAGCAGAGCTATCTAAACTGTCTTCAAATGGCTATTTATCCAGGAGAAATACAAACTCGCACACAGGATCGCTCCAGTCGAATAGTGTCAGTGCATTGTTGAAGACTACTACAAAACTCTCTTCTAGATCATTTGATGGTGGTAGTAGATCACTGGAAAGAGAGAAGCTTGTGCAGGATGCGGCAGTAAAAGATACGTCAGACACAGCGACCAGTGGTGAGACGATCGTTCCATACGAAGAAAATGAAGACGGTATTGCAGTCGAAAAAACCAAAACAGAGCAAGAAGATTCCGTTTCTGGAGCATTGTATGATATGTTACAGAAAGAAGTCATATCTCTTAGGAAAGCTTGTCATGAGAAGGATGTAACCCTCAGAGACAAGGATGATGCAATTGAGGTTAGTTTGTAGACTGAATTTGAAGATTATTCATCTCCATTCTCTAGTATCTCATCCACGGCTTATTGTGCATTTATTTTGGCCGTGTATAGATGTTAGCAAAGAAGGTCGATACTTTGAATAAAGCAATGGAGGTTGAAGCAAAGAAAATGCGAAGAGAAGTAGTGGCAATGGAGAAGGAACTCGCTGCTATGCGTGTAAGCAGGGAGAGCGATCAAAGGCCTCGACGCCAGAGTGCACCTAGAGGGGCTGTAGTTGGTTCTCAGTCACTTCCTGTCAGGTGAGTTCTTCCTCTATTTGTGACTTATTTTATGCGCAGAAGATGCTGCCTTGCTATATCAGCGCTCGACTATGGGGTCGAGTTGACTGGTGCCTTTTATGTTTATAAAATGGATGGTATCTTAAGATATCATGTAAGATCCCACGTCGGTTGGAGAGGGGAACATAACATTATTTATAAGGGTGTGGAAGCCTTTCCCTAGCAGATGCGTTTTAAAAACCTTGAGGGGAAGGCCGAAAAGGAAAGCTGAAAGAGGACAATATCTGCTAGCGATGGGTTTGGGTTATTACAAATTGTGTCAGAGCTAGACACCGGACGATGTGCCAGTGAGGAGGTTGAGTCCCGAAGGGGGGTGGACAAGAGGCGGAGTGTTAGCAAGGACGTTGGTTCCCGAAGGGGGTGGATTGGGGGGTCCCACATCGATTGGAGAAGGGAACGATTGCCAGCATCCTCGTTGGGCCCCGGGGGGAGAGGGGGATTGTGAGATCCCACACATCGGTTGGGGAGGAGAACGAAACACTCTTTATAAGGGTGTGGAAACTTCTCCCCAGTATACGCGTTTTAAAAACCTTGAGAGAGAGCCTGAAAAGGAAAGTTGAGGACAATATCTGCTAATGGTGGGCTTGATTTAGTGTTTTAGTGTTTTAGATCTTTTGATTACAATTTAGTGTCATTGTGATGTATTTACTTGCTGCCTCGATAAGAATCTCGAGGGAATCTAGTGTTCTTGCATTTGCAGTAGATCCATTATTTACCTTTTTCTTCGATTATTCCACAGGAGTATCCGAAACAGATAGGGGGTTCGACATGGGAATACACAGCGATGAAATGACTTTTTTTCTCGACAATATTGTCAATATAATTGTATTTTATGATGTCATAAAACATTGCTCCTCCTTTGCCTTCGTCTCCGTGGAGCAATGTTGGGAAATTTTATGTATTTGTAAAGAAACTAACACGAGGAATTCATCCTGTGTCTGTATATTTTTGTACCAATGGTATGAAGAACAGCAAATGGAAGTTAAAAGGGTATGAAGAACAGCAAATGGACGTTAAAAGGGTATGAAGAACAGCAAATGGAAGTTAAAAGGGGATGCCGGGAATTTTATATATTAGGCGATGGATAACTTTGTATTCTGTCACCTACAGGTAGATTGAATTTTTGGCATAAAACTCAATATTCATGTTAAATGATTAATATGTTATATTTGTTTTGATCATATATTTTCTTCTCTATTCTTCTGTTCTTCCAAAGTATTTAGCTGGATGGTTATTTATCGTTCTCTGGTTCCATTTTTCTGGGAAAAGTTGAAAACAAGAGACCAACATTTGTTTGAGTGCCATTTATGTTAACTTTTGCTGATCATAATGTGATTAATTTTTATTTTAGTTTAAAAACTTCGAAATTGAACTTCGATAAATAAGATTACCTTAATTTATCTAAATAATAAAAAAGATTTATGTAAATAATAAGTAAGATTTATGTATGCCTCGAAGATGTTTGTTTGGGTAAATATTAAGGTGTTTTTGGTTAAGAAGAAGGAAATGTGTTAATATATCATATGGTTTCTATCATTGGTTCACCATGTGAAATCCATGTGTGGTCTCATAGTGGCTTTTGGATTGTTTCCTTATTGAAGGTGTTTCTATCATTGGTTCACCATGTGAAATCCATGATAGTGGCTTTTGGATTGTTTCCTTATCGAAGGTGTTTGCATGTGTCAATCAGTGGACTCGGGAAAAGGATAAAATAATAATTTTATTTCCAAAATTTGATATATCCTACCATAAAAAAATTGAGTCACATTTTCAAAGGGTTAATTAAGGTGGTTAGTAATATTCTTAACCTAACTAAATATTATAGGACTAAGAGTTGTAATATATGATTGAGATTATCTCAATCTAGTGAAGGAATACTTGTGAGATCTCTCGTCGGTTGGAGAGGGAAACGAAGCATCTAGGGTGTCGAAACCTCTCCCTATTAGACATGTTTTAAAACATTGAAGCATCTAGGGTGTCGAAACCTCTCCCTATTAGACATGTTTTAAAACATTGAAGGGAAGCCCGAAAGGAAAAGTCCAAAAAAGACAATTATCAAGCAAGACACTGGGCTTGTGCTAGCGAGGATGCTGGTCCTCCAATGAGGGTAGATTGTAAGATCCCACATCGATTGGATAGAAGAACCAATGGTATCAAATTAGACATCGGGTGGTGTACCAACGAGATACTGGGTCTCCAAAGAGGGTGGACTGTGAGGTGTCTCAGACACCGCGAGGATGTTGGGCTCCTAATGAGGGTGGATTGTGAGATCCCATATCGGTTGGAGAAGAGAACGAAGCATTCCTCTTAAGGGTGTGAAAACCTCTCCCTATTAGACCCGTTTAAAAACCTTGAGCGGAAATGGAAAGCAATATCGGCTAGTGGTGACCTTAGGCTGTTACAATACTTAACCTACCCTGTAGCAATAAGATGGGCTTGAGATGTTAGAATACTTGACCAACCCTCTAATGATACTTGCTCTAACTATCCTAGAAATTTGGCCACCACTAGCCAATATTGATACTTGTTCTAAACACAATTTTTAGCCCATCCAAGAAATTTGGAAGGATTACAACTTCGAGAAGGCCTAGAACTGCGAGCTTGAACATGCGCAAACAAGTAAGTAACCAAATGAATCAAGCATTCAACTAGTCCTTGTAGGAGTTCATTAGGACGTGTGACATATTATTAGAAATCATATTTAAAAGTCTAATTGAGAAACTATCATGATAGCTAAACTTAGAAACGAGTACAGTTTACAGTTTAGCATAGTTTACAGCATAGTTAGCTTCCGCTTCCATGTTTGAAAACTCTGGTAGTCTTAACATGTTTATGAACTTTCCAACATGCCTTGATTGATTTTTATCTCATGTATTGAGCATGATGTATGCATGGTTATCCTTACATGCATGTCAGAGGGTTTGGAAATCATTTATGCCCAGTTATGCTTTGGATAATTGTTATTTAGAGTATCTGTTGTGTTAGTTTTATCTTATGAACCAATGCTTTATGTTACTATAGTATTAGAACCTAGTTGCAGGTCCCATTATCTTCATTTGGTTGATCAAGTACTTTGTATGGACAATTTGGGTGTAGCCCTTATTCGTGAACTAACAAAAAAAGGTTAGGGTCTTTTTGGTACACAAGTCTTGGTAGTCACCCATAGTGAGTTACGAGAATCATAGAGGGTACGTTACTAAGTTAGTATCGCTTAGTGAGGGGGCCAAATAATTTACTGTCTCTGCTTGAGAGGGCGACGTGATAGGTAGTTTACTCTCTCCGTTCAAGAGGGCGAAATGACAAGTAGTTTATTGTGTCCCCTTGAAAGGGCAATGCAATAGGTAGTTTACTATCTCTACTCGAAAGGGTGACGCGATATGCGAGTTACTGTTTCACCTGAAAAGACGATACAACAGATAGATATTACCCTATATCACTAGGGAGAATTCTCTAATTTGAGCTTAGTAAATAGTCAGATGGGGAGTATGTTTATCACATTAGAGCAAAAGAGCTCCTCTATATTCACTAGACTTACCCTAGGCCCAACCTTGTGAATGTACAAGTCGATGGGCAAATTGACTCGAGGTGCACTTCGCACAAGTATTATGAGAGACCTAGAGATACGTAAAAATTAGAGTACAAAGCACTCGAACGAACCCCTTCAATTATGAACTCCGAGGGGGTAGTGCACTCTACATAGGAGTTATGTTTAAGGTTTTGGTACTTAGAGACTTGAATAGGTCAGAACAGATATAGAGTTAGGGATGGTTATGAGCACAAAACTTCAGATTTCGTGTATAGGAATAAGTTTGGACGAGAGCCTACAAATATGTTGTTTATACTCACTTTTACTCCATTTTATTTTTCAGGTTGCTACATTTCATCTTATTTATTAGTCTTAGGTTAGATTAAGGCAATGTGTTAGTGTTTATTCTCATTTCTTGTATGTTTTTGGATTGATTTAAGTATTTTATTTTTAACGTTTGAAGTCCATGACATCATTTATGAACTATTTAAAATGAATACTTTGAATGCGAGACATAGGTTTTACCAAGTTCATGTAGTTACAAAGCAAGATACGTAGAATTTCAACAGAAAGGGATGGTAGTGAAGCTCAAGATTTCGAAGGGTCCGATAAAATGCGGGCTTAACTTGACTTTACACCCAAATCTCAGAACACCTACATAGACACTACTTTCACGAATACTTCATTACCTACCTCGAATTTCAAGTTTCTATGCCTTACATCGGCATAACTCCTTCGTCTACCTTTGATCCTACGCATTCTCATCTTCATCTTTTACACGATCTCATTTCAATGTATTAGGGGCCTACAACGTACCACCTGTTTGTAGGGAGGAAAGCGATATTGAAATCCCAGTTCTTGTCGTTCAGCGGATGTGATACCATTACTAAATCATTTCTGTGTTCGAGTGAATCTAATTCCAATCACTGTGCGCTGAAGATTTCAATCTCTCTTCCGCTCGGCAGTTTCAATGCCGCTTCACAAAACCCAGAAGCCAAAACCCAAACCCAGACCCAGATCCCCACTCCTCTTCTTCTTCTTCCTTGCCCTCGCTGCCATTACGCTTCTTTTCATCTTTTCCTCTCTCATTTCCACCAATAAAATCTTCACATTCAAGAATCTGACCCCCAAACAGAGCCGTAACCGCCACGTTTTTAGTTCGAACGATAAGTTCTTGTACTGGGGAAGCCGAATCGACTGTCCGGGGAAGCACTGCGAGTCTTGTGAGGGTTTGGGTCACCAGGAGTCTAGCTTGAGGTGTGCTCTTGAGGAAGCCATGTTCCTCCAGAGGTAATTTTTATGAAGTTCTTCTGAATTCTTTGGTTTAATTCTTGATTGGAGGCGTTATCTTCTTGTTTAATTTGTTGGATTGGCATGATCATGTTTCTGTCTGAAAGGGATTTTGGATTAGAATTAGATGTTTAAACTTAAGATGTTTAAACAATTCTGTATAGATTCAAAGCAGCTAATTACTTTTGCATGCAGCATTCAACTTAGAAACTTCTGTTTGCCCTTGATTGATGTATATACTATGTTAATTGCTCGGCGGTGAGGTGCCATTTAGTTCTTTCTCTTTTGTAATGTATGCCGGCACTGAAACTAGAACTAATGGAGACAGAGCGGGTCTAGTAGTCGGGGTAGGAAGATTTTTTAGCTTTAACGGATTAGGTGTGTGGTAAGTCAAACAAGATCCTACGGTTCACTTTTCTTCGTACCTTTCACATCCCACTTCACTTTACAAGGGGAAGTGGATATTACATCCGGCCTTACTAGAAAGTAGGCTCTGGAACTTCCAAGGCCAAGAAGGAAGTCCTAGATGATCCGCTCAAACTCGTTTCAGTATTTGTCCTTCCTTTAAAAGCCCCCGTGCCATTTCGTCCAACATAATTTATTGAACGAATGCTTTTGCATATCCTACTTAGACAATTTACTAATCTTCCTTTTTGTTGCAGAACATTTGTAATGCCCTCTAGAATGTGTATCAACCCTATTCATAATAAGAAAGGGATTCTTCATCAGCCCAATAATGCAAGCTCCGAGGAAAGGTGTGTCTTATGACAAACATGTTGATGATAGTTGAACCTGTATTGACTTGATTTTCTTCCTGCTTCAAACTAAAACGCAAACTGCATCACATAAAAATTCATCTGTTCTTTCATATAATTGTGATGTTTTTATGTATTGTAGTTGGGATGCTAACTCTTGTGCTATGGACTCTTTGTACGATATGGATCTTATATCCGACACCATACCAGTGATTTTAGACGACTCGGAAATATGGTATCAGGTGTTGTCAACTGGTATGAAATTGGGAGCTAGAGCAGTTGCCCATGTTGAGCAAGTTGGTCGTGTTGAACTTAGGGACAACAGTCATTACTCCAATCTTTTGCTAATAAATCGAACTGCTAGCCCTCTTTCATGGTAAATCAAATCTTGGAAAATAGGATTCTTTCTACCTCTCTTGTGTATGTGCAAGTAAAGGTCAAGTAGGCTTGTCCTTTTAATGCCTTGTTTTTATGCATTTCTTTTCAACTTAGTGTGACAAATATTTCGTTTTAAGATCCCAAGTTATGAATTATTTGGGTGTTAATATGATCACAACTCTTTAGGTTTATGGAATGCAAGGACAGAAACAACCGCAGTGCCATATTGTTG